ACATTAATGCTTCCAAAACATCTTCTTTTAGTCGATTCCTAATATCAGAGAGAACCCTAGATCCTGCACTAAAAGCAGATTTCGAAGCTACAGTGCTAACCAGAGGTGTTAGTAGATCTTTTGCCATTGCAGAAACTATTGGCCATCGGCGTTCATACTTTCGCCAGAAGTCAACTACTTCTTCTGAATTTTTCCTTAATGCATTGTTACTATGCCAATTATGATTAAAGTAATCAAGTAATTCAGCAGGCAATGCATTTTGACTAGTACATGCAGTAGAAGACAAACTACTATGACTGGAGAAATCATATGCATTTCCAATTTGACCATATCTATATGAGTTCATACCTTCAAATAAATTTAAAATTTCAGCGTCGTCATCTCCTAAATTAGTGGGAGGAGTACTTGTAGAGTCGAAGAGTATACGAGTAACTTGTGTACCCATTCGTGAAGCATCTATTACATACATTTCAGATAAAGTTGCTTCCAAATTCCTATAGGTAATAGGTATGTTAAAAGTTAAAGATTCTGACATTCGCTCAATTATAAATTTAGTACCAGATAAATTATATTGGGGGTCCATGATGCATGTTAACGGAAATAACATGGGCAAGTCTTCCCAATATTTTCTAAACTTTAATTCCATGGCATTTATAACTGAACTAAAATCGGGGTCATTTTTAAATCTATCAAAAGCCCTAGCAACTAGATAAAGACGTTGAAGGACCATACAACTAGTAGGATAATAAACACCAGACAAAATATTTGTAGCATCATAAAAACTTTTCAAAAAATGTTTAATTTTAGTAACTAAAATCCAATCGAACTCAATCAAAACAGTTTCCTCGTCGTCTCTAAAATGCCTACTGTTATAAAATTCAGTAATTAAATGTTCGAAACCTTCACATGATTTTAATAATAAATATGTGGAGTTCCATCTATGCGCTACGTCACTAATAAAAGTTTTTGAATGCGACACCCCATGTTTGGCACAAAAGTCCTCAATGCTTGTTTTCTACTAGGTGAAATAGTAATATAAATTAGTGCATCCCTAATTTGTTGAATTTCATCCTTAACACGTTTTAAACCATCTTGTACTATTAAATTTAAAATATGACATACACATCGAATATGAAATAAAAAACCACCAAATTCAGGTTGAAGTACTCTTTGCAATTTCTCGATAACAGGCTTATTTACATTAGCGTTGTCGAACGTAAAAGAACGAATTTTACTCTCGCATTTATATTCTCTAATAACGTTCATAATAGCACTAAATATATTGGGAGCATTGTGCGGGTACTCAATAATTTTAAAAGCAATTATTTTTTTATGCATGATCCAAAGTGAGTCTATATAGTGTGCAGTTGCAGCCATATAACCTCTTTTATTAATCCCTTCCCATAAATCCGAAGTTAAAGATATTACACCCCCATATTTTTCTAAATCGGCAATCAATGTTTTCTTTGCATTTAAAAAATATTCTATTGTATCAAAACGAAGAGTATTTCGACTTACCCCAGCGTACCTCGGTTGAAGACATTCTTTGACAAATGTAACGAAATGTTGGTTGTCCGTTTGTGCTAGTGGCAACTCAGATCCGGCAATGTACTTCATCATTCCTGTTCGAGTTCTTTCCTCCGAATACATCCACATATTAAGTGGCGTAGTAGTAGTAGCACCGCTGCCTAAAGTACCAAATTGTAGTTGCATTTGACCAGCAGGAAGAAGACCATGTTTGGCCGTACATGCTTTGTAGTGACGGTTGAGGTGGGTGGTTCCAATGCCTTTTTGATGAGTCAATCGTTGTTGATAGTATTTACATACTGCTTTGGTTTCTGGAATTCCATCGACCATACGACCAGTTTGAACCAATTTAAAATGATCCTAACATTTTGCATGCTTCTTTACCTTTCTCTTCCCTCTTGCATTGGGAATTTTAATAACAAGTTCATCATCTTGTTCCAAATCAATTGGAGCCTCAGCATCAACGTCATCCAAATTAATTTGATGGCTACTTTCATAAACATTGTAATCTTCAATATTTTCTGGAATGGGTACTTCATTTAGACCGGCGAACTCATTCCTATATTGATTCCCATATTGATTATGGGACACATTTGCTTCATTTTCGACTCCGACATCGAACAAGTTTTCAATAAATGAGCGTGAATCCATTTGTGATTAATTGAAATTGAATGTTGAAGAAAAAGAAGTGAAGTAGAATTGAGAAATGAATGAAGATTATGTAATAGTGTAGAAACTATATTGTAAAATCAAGATTATAATTTAATGATATGAATATAAAATGTAGAAGAGTATAGAAATGAGAATGAATGAATGAATAATATTGATAATAATTGAGTTGTAGAGAGTATAGTAGAGAATAAGAGATTGATAGTAAGTTTGGTAAGAAAAAATGTGGTAATTGATGGGTATTTATAGGAAGAAAATGAAATTTGAAAAAAAAAATATATCAGGGACCAAAATGGTCACTGAAATAATTTTTTTTTTTTTGGACGAGCCAACCTGGGCTCGTGGCTCGTCAAAAGACGAGCTACGAGCCCAGGCTCGTGGCTGCTCGGCGATCAAAATTCCACGATAATCGTATGATATACTTGAGATTTTTTGTATTATGATATTACTTGATGAATAAAAATTTCATTCCACATAAACAATTTGTATTAACTATTTTTTATACTCACGAAATATTGCTTTTGTAACACTTATAAAATAACTTAGAAAAACGTGCTACACACGTTCGATTATGACTATTACTTTAAAAGGGCATTAGTCAGCCATTGTCATCCAGCTACCCTAGGCCAAGCTGGGCACATCTCGGCCCAAAAAACTTAAGTTGCCTGTAGTCTCCCAATGATCAGAGAAAGGAAATAGACAAACTCGCACAAATAGGAACATAGAATAAAGCAACATTTCTGTTTTCTTAAGAATTGACGAGGTTTTTATTTACCCCAAAAGAACTTGAAAGAAACAAAGAAAAAATGTCAAAACAATTTCTACATATCTAAAGCTTTATACTAAGCTTGATTCTATAATACCCCCCTTTTCTTCAAGACCCACGAGCCGAGCCCGGCTCGGCTCGTCAATCAATTCATAGGTTCGGCTTGTTGCTCGGGCTCGTTTTTTACGAGCCCGCGAACTACTCGGGCCCATTGCCACCACTATATTCATGTGACGATGGTGGTTGAGCGCCCTGCTAAACAACGGAAGGTAGTTGTTGGTCTCCGTGTGAAAGTTGATGTATAAATTGAAAAATAGAGAATGAGAAATGAATTAGGGTCTTCGGTCTTCACATTGAGAAATGAGAAATCGAAGGTACGTGGCCTTTTTCTTCAGTTGAATTTGAATTTTTTTGGCGTGAATTATAATTCATTAATTCATAAAAGATATTAATATACATATAATAAATAGTAGAATTTAAATATTGGGTTTGGTTCTTAGTTCTAGAATTAGAACCGAACCAGAACCAAAATCAGAACAAAATGATTATCAGTTTTAAGAATCAGAACCATTAATTTTTTGTACAACCGAATCAAATAGCTCAGTTTGATTTAGTTCTGGTTTTATCCAGCTTGATTTGGTCATTTTGTCCACCCCTATTAAGTAAAAGATCATGCACACAGAAAACACAATAAATAAGCAATATGTATAATCTAGAGACTTAGAGATCAGCCTACTACTATGTGCAACACTGACATCCAAGAGAGAGTACAATGCTCCAAAAATCCAAATCAAAACTAGATTTGATCCCTGATCAAAGAGGACGTTCCAAATCACAAAACCTAATTAACACATCCACCAAAACCACAAGCGGACCACTATACAAGCTGGCCAAAAGTTATTGTAACAGGACTATTTTCATAAATTTTGAGTAAAAGGATTAGGATCTCATGGGAGATCATACCAACAAAATTGAGAAGAAGACAAGAAAAACCCGAAGACTTAGAAAGAGAAAAGTACTTTTAATTCTCAAAACTCAAAAGCAAAAAAGAATTGAGAGTACTTTTCCTTTCATTTAGTACAACTTGAGTACTCAAAGGTCAATCCATCAAAAGCAAAAAGAGTAATCCCAAGGGATTAATCTTAGCCATTAATTGAAACCGCTGGTCAACATTTCCTTTCATTTAGTACAACTTGAGTGAAGGTCTAGCAGCCAGCTGGAGGTTTCCAAGTGGCCATCCATATCCAACTAACCGATAAGTGTAGAAAGACCAATATAACCTTCATAACTTGTACACGTGACACACGATTTCACACTGACATAGTACATTACCACTGCGAGAGAATTAGCTAGGAAATTCTCCATCACTTTTCAGAATCAATCCTCGGATCAGCAACAATTCGTTGTTTCAGTCGGGGAAATCGCTTTTCAAAGAAGAATTTATACCTCGTTGATTACTATTCTCGTGTTGCCTTTTCCAACTCTAATACGATGGAATGGCTCTGTGTTCGGATCAACTTTCCATTCAACCTCGTCTTCTCTCTTCTTCTGATCATCTTGGTCAACCTTCCAAGGTCAGCCATTGATCCCAGTAAGCATCCTTTCCCTTCGCTTTCCTTTGGTTGGGTAGAAAACAAGATTAATTTGTCAGAAAAAAATAACGAAAGCAGTCAAGTTTATTAAATTTTCTGTAACGATGATAAAAGTACAGGAATCGATTCATAGGAGCAGGCCTGCCAGGACTAGTAGCCACCTATGGTTTAATTTAAATGTTCTCCAAACATGGGTTTGCAATGTAGAGAACAAAATGATCTCCGTGGAAAGAGTTCTTCAGTTAACTAAAATACCCTGTGAAGCTCCACTAGATCTTGACAATTGCAGACCAGAAACAATTGATTGGCCGTTCGTTACTTACTGCAACATCAAAAGCAATTTATTATTAGAAGATAAATATATTGAAATTTCAATTTTTTTTCTTATACAAGTGGCAGATCTCCTAAAACTCAAAAAGTCTGGCAAGCATGAATTTTCAAATTTCATTGCAGCAGAAGGACGCAAGTGAGTCAAGCAACCAAAACAATTCTTCCAGTTTCTGGGCTTTAATCAATGTGTCTAAATTTTACATTTGTCAAGCAGAAATGGAAAACTTCTTGTGTGAATTCACCTCATGCTTTCTTGGATAAGAATAGAGAAATCGCATTCTACGTGAAGAAACCGTGCTTCTCTCTTGTTATTTGCAGCTCCAAGAAAATGATTAGATGGGTGAAGCCTGAGGTAAATCATCTTACATTTCTTTACCAGCAATTTATATTTTCTTAAGGCCCTTGTCAATTTGGAATTATTCAGTTGTTGAAGAGAAGATCTGAACTTGGGCTGGTGTTGGATTACATTTAAATAATTAAATGTTTACACCTTCTAAACGATAGAATTAAACCAATCATTTATTGTAGTAACTTTAATAATCTTCCTCTATTAAATGTAAATATTGGAGTATCTTTTCTTTTATTGAAACATTCCATACTCTCCCTTCTGCAATTTGGTGTATTTAGCTTACTGTTTTTCAATTAAATAATTTATAGTTGTGGAATTTCAGGCTTTTTCTATATGCCTATAAAATATGAATAAAGCAGTCAGATAGGCTAAAAACATGGATTTAAAGACAGATTGATTTGGCAGAAAGTGGTTGGCTTTTTAAAGACAGATTGATTTGGCAGAAAGTGGTTTGGTTTTTTTTTTTTTTTTTTTTAAATTTTTTCAAAGTATCCAATCATGCTTCGACACGTGTCTGCACTCCCCCCTCCCCCCTTTTTTTACCTGTTTTTGAGCCTGTCTCTATAGCATTGTTGATAAAATATACAATTTCATCGTATAACTTGTTATGGTTTATTGGGCTAGAGTCTTGACCAATGATTAGAATCAAGTGTTAATGAGCGATCCCAATAGAAAAAGTTACAAGAGGACAATATAATATGACCGAACTTAATTATCGAATTTTGTTGGCTTTGTGCGAACGAAGGAGAATTTACATAGCTGATCTTCAAGTTTACTGAGAATTTTGGTTATATACTGTTCTTGGCATGGAAACATAAAGGGAACACGGTCTAAATGAAGAGTATAAAAATCTACAGTTATATTACAAAGTCACCAAATTGTCTGTGCTTTCTATTATTTTATTGCAATAATGAAGCTTTCGTTCTCTTTTTTGAACTTGGATTTCAACAGTGTGTTTGATGGTCTTAAGAATTTCTAGCTGGCGCTTTAATTCTTAATTATTCCTATTCTTGCAAACTGAATATAGAGGATGTGCATAACTGTCTATGTTTTTGTTGATTTAAAGGTTTATCCTGAAACTACATGTGACAAAAGTGAAGGCCAGAATATTTCGATTTCACTAAGGCCCTGTTTGATATGGAAAATTTTTCATGGAATTTTCCACATTTTCCCTTGTTTGATTGGTATAATTTTCTTGGCAATTGAATTTCCTCCCCCCTCCCTTCACGTGACCCATTTTCCAGTGTCTTGTGGAAAATCAATTCCTTTGGTTTTGGTGAGAATTGGGTTTTCCAGATTTTTTCTTTTTTTTTTTTTTTTTTTTTTTTTTTTTGGTAATGGAAACAAAATTTATCCATAATTGTAACAAATTATATCCCTTTAATTGACAATTTTCATGGAAAACAAAGTCAAACGAACACTAAAAGATTCAAAATTTCATCATTTTCTAGGTGGAAAATTATACCAATCAAATATATTTATGACAATTTCCAATAAAACAAGTTTTAGGCAATTCAATTCCTTGAAATTCATCTTCTTTCTTCCCAAATTTCATTCTTACAATCAAACGACCCTGACTTTTTTTTATGCATAATCTACACGGCATGAGGTATCATGTGCTTTTAGCACCTAATGCTATGGATGGTAGTATCCAACTTCAAAATGTACAGATTATCTAATTGAAGAATTTTTATATTCAGCAATCAGTTTCAATTTCTGGAAATATTAACTTGAAGATTTAACAGAGAAAAAAATACAAAAATACTTGGAGAAATTGGGAGGTTTTGATTTTATATTTCCATGAACTTTTCATCCTTTATATTATGCATAAAATGGATCTAAAAACTTGCGGTCTTCTGCAGCAATGAAATTTGAAATTTCATGCTTGCCAGACTTCGTGAGTTTCTTATAATGACTACGAGACCTGCCAGTTGTATAAGAAAAGAATTTGAAATTTGGATATATTTATCTTCTAATGAGCTGTCTATAAGATTACTGATATAGTACTATAAATTAACAACATTGCTAATGTCCTACCCGATCGATGTTAGTCAATTGTTTTTTATGTTGCATAAGTAATGAACACTAAAATGCATACAACCAAGAATCACTAAATCATCCTGTAAAGTAGTTTCATTTATTTTTGTATTTGTTTCCCAGTTTTGCTTCTAGTAAGCAAGAGCTCTTTCTACTCTATGTCCTTGTTTGTCACCTGTACATGAAAAAGTCACAAACTGTTTGAATCCCCTGACAAAATCAAATCTCTTTATCATTAGCTTTTCGTTGATCTTCTCACGAATTCCGTTACCAAACTTGAAAATGCAGAAGAACTATCTGATAGCAGCTGAGCTGGAGAGTCATACTCTAAAACGTTCCCTGCGTCAACCAAAGATTGCTCTAGTGAAAAATATATCATTATGCATTTGTAAATCTCTATTATGATCTTACTGATTCAGTTTTCATTTTGATTTTGTGTTGATTTTACCTTCACCAAGAACCAGAACGAGATCATTATCAATGACAGTGGGTATGCGATGAGCTACTGTTATAACTGTGCATCTGTTTGTTTCTTCTCTTATTGTTTTCTGGATCAGATTATCAGTTGCCGTGTCTACTGAAGCAGTAGCCTCATCCAGGACCAATATCTTTCTCCTTTGAAGAAGCACCCTTGCCAGACATACAAGCTGCCTTTGCCCTACACTCCAGTTTTCTCCATCTTCAGCAACTGCACAATTTTTCAAAATTTTGGTAAAGGAAAATTATCAATTCAAATGAAAATGTAGTTCTTTTTTGAAGAATTTTGTTATGGCTGATACCAGGTGCATCTAGAAGCCTTTGATCTTGCTTTACATCATCAGCAATATGACATTTGTGCAAAACCTGGATTACCACATCATTTCAGGGAAAATCAGATTGTCTTCTAACAAATTATTACAAGGAAAGGACTTTTTTGATTCATTACCTTCCAAATATCTTGGTCTGAGTGCTCCTGCAGAGGATCAACATTTGTCCTCATGGTTCCTTGGAACAAAACTGGATCCTGTGGGATGATACTTAATCTCGACCGCAAATCCTGTAAACCTATCTTTGAGATATCTATTCCATCAATCATCATGCGTCCTTCTGAGGGCTCCACAACCCGGAAGAGAGCTTGGATCAGGGTAGACTTTCCACTTCCAGTTCGTCCCACAACACCGATTTTCTTTTCACCTGGAAAGGTGCACGTGATCCCTTTGAGAACTATAGGAAGAGTAGGCCTGTATTGCACATGGAGATTTTCGATTTCAACTTTTCCATTGAACGGCCAATCAGTTTCTGGTCTGCAATCGTCAAGAACTAGTGGAGCTTCAGGGGTTATTTTAGTGAACTGAAGAATTCTTTCCACAGATATCATTTTGTTCTCTACATTGCAAAGGTTCCATATAACCCATGCTTGGAGAACATTTAAATTCAAACCATAGGTAGCCGCTAGTCCTGCCAGGCCTGCACCAATGAATCGATTCATGTAGTTTTGTCGTCGTTACTGATGTACATTAAACTTGACTGCTTTTGTTATCTTTTGCTGACAAATAGCTGAAAGTGAAGGGAAAGGATGCTTACTGGGATCAATGGCTGACCTTGGAAGGTTGACCAAGATGATCAGAAGAAGAAAGAAGACGAGGTTGAATAGAAAGTTTATCCGAACACAGAGCCATTCCATTGTGCCAGAGTTGTAAAAGGCTACACGAGAATAGTTATCAATGAGGTTTAAATTCTTCCTTGAAAAGCGATCTTCCTGATTGAAACAACGAATTGTTGCTGATCCAAGGATTGATTCTGAAAAGTGATGGAGAATTGGAGCCTGTTGATTTGGAACCATCCTAGCTAATTCTCTTGCAGTGGTAATGTAGTACGTCTGCATCAAGATTTGATGTATTAGAAGATTACAAGAAGATTTGTCTATATTTTGATAAGTCTGATTCTTTTCTTTCAATAAGAATTTCGGTTTAGTTGGTGTCAGCATATTGGGAATGAAGTCAACATTTAATGGGGAGACTGTTCTTGCCTGATACCAAGTGGAGATGGCAATCACAACAATGAAGATATAAAAGATCGGCCAGGCGACTTTGGACATGAGTACCACAATGCTGAACAGCTGAATAAGTGCAAATACTAATCCAGCTAACCTGTATGGAATATCTGTATCCACTACACTTTGATCTGTTGAAGACTGGTAATCAAGAACACGATTTAAAATATTTTCATCGTGAAGCGAAGTGCAAAACGAGAAAGTAAAAGGCAGTAATATTGGATAATAACAAATATACAGACCCTGTTCAGAATTCTGCTTGAAGGTGTAGTGTCAAAGAATGATAATGGTGCCCGGAAAATTGATGTTATCATTTGAAGGAAAAGGTGCTGAGAAGTTTTAAGGGCAATGGTAGACAAAAGAACTGCTCTTCCCAAAATAAAGAAGGAGCTTCCACCAGAAAGTAAAGAAAATATCCCAATCAAATGCCCTCTTGTAACCCTGCCTTCTTCTGTTCCCCAGGCCATCCAGTAATTGCTTGCCATTTGCAGCCCCTGGAAGAGAACCTGGCACATAAGGATAAATGGAACAAGGGCTCCTTTATATGCAGACGTGATAAAGGTAGAGTACACGTGCCATTTCACACGACCAGTTTCTGTTTCTTCATGCCGAGTTCTCCCTGCAACCCTGTTAGAGTCAGTAAGGTCTTCAATTTTATCTTCAGTTACTTCGATTTGACTACTACCATGTTTCTTCTTAGCTAAGCCGATACACATTTTTGGAGTGTTCACTTGATCCAGAGATTTACTATGAGCAGATATTTGTCTGATGAGTTCACCATCAGGCATTGCAATCAAATCTTTATATTTCCCTGATTGAATAATTCTGCCATCTTTCATCACCTGTATAAAAATGTGTCCATAATTATTAATGGTCTTAATAAATTTCTCATTCCCAGGAAAAGCATAATATTTTCCTTCGGGAAAAAAAATTACATTTATATGAGTTCATTTAGCATTACCAAAACAAGGTCAGAAGCATCCAAAAACTCTAACTGATGAGTAACATAGATGACAGTCTTATTCTGCAGGAGTTGCATAAGGCATTTCTGCATAGTATTGAAGTAGAGATATATTTGATTAGTCATGTGAGAAATATGATGTGTCATGCATAATAAAGTTAATCATGTATAATAAAAGATATTTCTTGCATTGAACATATGAGCCCCAGTATGCACATCAACGGCGCTGAAAGGATCATCAAGTAAGAATATATCCGAGTTGCTGTATATTGCCCGTGCCATTTGGACTCTCTGCTTTTGTCCGCCACTCAAGTTCAGCCCTCTCTCGCCCACCATAGTCAAGTCTCCATCAGCCCACAAATTAATATCATGGTTTAAGGCACATCCTTCGACGACACCTTCATAAAATGTTTGATTCATTTCCTTGCCAAACAAGATATTCTCTCTGATAGTGCCCGTTTGGATCCAAGCACTTTGTGGCACAAAAGCTTTTGATCCATAGGTTAGGATACCTGACCCCGAAATCCTAGGTATCTCCCTGAGTATGCTGCAGAGAAAACTAGTTTTACCAGAGCCAACTGAACCACAAATGGCCACCTTGTGACCCTTCATTATTCTTATTTTCTCTGTTATCTTGACTGCTGGTATTTTCGCATCTTTATTTTCCCATGCGTATTCTCCGGCTTCAATCTCAATGGCCACATCAGGTGTGTCGAAATTATTACAGTGTATCAATCTCTTCTGATCTTCTTCTACGATAAAATTTTCTAGACGGTCAACTGAAACCTTAGTCTGAGCAAGCATAGAAATAAGCTCTGGGAGATTGTAAATAGGTTCTTGAAGGATTCGAAAAGTTGCCAGAGCCGATAGAACTGTGCCTGACGTTAGTGGCGTTCTCAAAATAATGCAAACACCAAAGGTAACAACTGATACTACTGTTGGTGAAGTCCAAAAGAGAAAAGCCACAGCAGAACATGTATATAAGTACTTTCTGAGCCAATCCCTTTCTACTTCCCTCAGTTTAAGTAGCTTCTTCAAAAAGTTGGATTCCCATGAATGCAACTTCAAGACTCTCATGCTTTTCAGGGTTTCAGATGTAGCTTTGATCCTCGAGTCCTTAGCTTCCATTATCTTAGTATGGAGTCTTTCTTGCTTATTGGCAAGTGGGGTGTTGCTTATCATCACAATAATCGTCGTGAAAAGAGCCGCTAGTGATGGAGCAGCTCCTAAATTCTTGTACAAGATAACCAAGGCGCATATGACCTGAACTGGAAGCAACCAAATTCCATGGAAGTACCAGCAGAAGTCTCCAATCTTCTCAACATCGACGTTGAGAAAATTAATAATCTTACCGTTGCTCATGCTACCATACTTGATTGACAAAGATTTCTTGTATATTAAGACCATTAGAGCTGCCTTAACTCTTATACCTAGACGGCGTGCACCAAAATACCACAGCCTCTGGGATAGTGATTCAGCAGTCTTTGCTAAGAAGAAAATAAGTGCAAGAACCATCCCATTATACCAACTTTTGTCATCCTTTCTTGATAAAAAGTCAACAAAGCTTGTAATCAACAAAGGCCCTACGTAGGAAGTAATTGTATTGACTCCTGAAAACATCAAAATAATCATTCAAATTTCTCTTATGGGAACACGAGTTTAAAGGGTAAAAGAAAACAGAAAACTACCTGCAAAAACTGCATTTATAGCTAGGGGCCTCCATATAGAATGGAAAATGGCATTAGGCAACAAGATAGTCTCAGTTTTCTGTTTGTGCAGAGACTGTTCCAACAAGGCAGAAGCTTCATCAGCAGTTTCAGACTCTGGAATTGAAGGTATGTGCTCTAATTCAATTTTTTCACAACGGCCTTTTCTGAACAGTGGATTCATCCACCTGAATGTTAACTGGCTCCAAATTCCAGCATCAGAAAATGCGTCTCTGTGTTTTTCTTTCTCCTCCAACTCCTTTTGAAGTAATGGTTGTGTAGTTGTATTGTGTTTATGTGCAGAATTGTTAGGCAAAGCATTAAAACAGAGTAGAATTGATAACGGAAGTGATCCAAAATCAATAATGTTGGCTTCTGGCAGAAAGTTTGAGATTTCAATTGATCTGCATAAACTGAGGATATAAACTGAAACCAAAAGTAAATTACGAATGCTTGAAAAGAACCACCATAGAATAAGTTCAAATGGCCATGTTCTGTGTCTCCTTGAAGTTTTGCATAGTGAATAGATTGTAACCAGACTTGCTAAAGTCCAAGTCATAACCGAGAAAACAGACTCAAGAGAGGGGGTACCATCCTTCCAAATTTCATAAAAACAAAATCCCAGATAAGATATGCTAATGATGAAATTCAATGTAACAGTGATTTTGCTGAAAACCGTTAATTGTTGGCCGAATTCACTTTTCAAAACTTGCTTATCTCCTTGCTTCCTCCTTTCTTTGAAGACATCCAGCAGAAGGCATATCAGTAAGAACAGAAAAAATGCTATATCGATTAACTTCAGAGTGATATCCATCAAAACTGAACCAGAAACAGCTAAAAGTTGCAATCTGTAAACCCTGTAGTTGAGAAAAAATGTTCATCAATGTAATTCAAAAATAAAAAACAAAGTTTTATTCCCAATAAATTTAGACTCGGCTATTCTGTTTATTGCTACATTTATATACATAGATATACTAATCTGTATGTATCTAGGACTGGATAAATTCTTGTGGATATACAGACCTGTTAAATTATGAAGAAAGCATGTGTCCCGCTAAATTGGCGAGGAATCTCAGCAGTAGTGAATAGTGGTGTGTGCCTATGTGCTTATGATTATTAATATTAATAAAAGAAAATAAAAGTCACGTCAATAGATTCTAAACAAGTTAGGTTAGGTTCTGACTCTATACCTGTGTAATTTGTATAAATTTGATTGAATTATCCATGGAAAATTTTAATGTGGGACCAGAATCAGAAAAGTCTGCAAAATAATTATATACATTTCTATCCTGGAGAATATTGTAAGAATGATATCATTTTATATACATTATTTTGTTCCTTATACTGCAAACAAGTTTGAAATTTGATGTCACATGTGAGCTGCTAAATAAAAATTCATCATGCATTAAATTTGTGGCTTGCATACTTAAGATTTTTGTTCATTTCTAAGTAGCAAAAGCTTGGTAGTGTGGCTTGTGTCCTTTTCCGTGTGCGCATACACGTGTTCATGTACGTGTTTTAATGCACTTAATGAACTTAGCAATGCTCGAAAACGAGGACTGAATCTAGGTGACATATGAGAACTGGGATTTGGTTTGAATAGAGAAAGAAAAGAATAAAGAGAGCCGGGATTGAGATTGAGAATTGGAAAAGTGAGTTATTTAATGGAAGATAGCATGTTTTATGGTAGCTTCTAATCAGTGTTGAGTACC